AACAACTAGAGAAAAAAAAAAAAAAACCCTCTAAACAATCCCAAACAACTTTTTTTGGCTGCTGGTGTATCAACTCTGAATATCCAAGCAACATTCAACTGCACAAAAACCACTGCAAGAGAATTCCTTGGAAGTGTTTCAGAAACACATGATCACACGCTCTATTTTGATCCCTCTGGTATGTGGGATACAAGCTTTTGGTACCTTGCCTCTCACAGGGTATTTTTGTTGTAACTCATCTAGCATGCATTAAGACTTTCACGAAACCCTAGAAAAGAACAGGAAAGGAATTCTCAACTAAGTCACAATATAATTGATTAGCTTTTGTGTTGTGCATTTTCCTATCTACCTTAAACTTCCCCAAACCAGTATCACTAGGCAAGACTAAGCTAACCCTTCCAAAGTTATTCTTGAATAGCTAATTAAATTTGCAGGATCACCTTCCCAAAAAGCTCTAGCCTAGCACACTGATTTTCCTGATGAAAATCCTAAAATTTCCTAGTCAATGAAATTCTCTAAGGGGCATAGACCTCTTTGGTATACTAGGAGCGAAAAAAACCCCAGAAAATACATTGTTTAAAAATGCATTTCTAGATCATCTCTACTGCAGACACTTGGCATCCAGATTACCTGAAAGATGAAAAAGAAGGTGAATTCTTAATACCTAAATGTATCTTATTTATGAATTTAAGATTTTATTTGCCAGATAACAACTACGTTTGTTAAAATGGGAACATGCTTGTAAAATTTCAGCACAATTAAAGGGGTTTATGCCAGACAGCTACCAGGAAAAAGTACATTCAAGAAGGAAAATCATATCAGGATATGATATTTTGTTCTATGCCAAAATAGTATCATTGTGTCAAATTTACTGCAAGCTTCATTGGCTTATTACTCAGCAGTGTGCACAGCTTTGAGACATCTAAAGTATACAACAAAGGCATGACTTAAGTACTAATATTTTTAAGTCTTTGTTCATGCTCAAAGAGTTCAGAGTCCCGCACTGCCAGAAGAAAGTATTCAGCTATCTCACAGGTTACAGGCATGCATAAATTGCCATGTTACTCTTATCTGACCACAGTTACTTTCCTTGCATTTTATTCTGTCATCTGCAAGGCCTAACCCTACTGGTGAATGATAGTTTCCCTTGGGCTCTGCTTTATTTCAGTGCATTTGCCTGCCAAAGATAGAACTCAGTCACCATGAAGCTCAATTACACCCAGTGACTAGATAACATCTAAAATAAATATAAGCCTACCAACTCATCTGTCTGTAAGGGTTCCCCAGCAGAACTTAAGCTTTGCTTGCTCTGCTTTTTCTCCAACAACTCTTGAGATTAAACCATGATGGTACACAGGCATATAGTTTTAGCACTGCACATGGACCAAAATCCTTTACAGAAACTACATAACTACTTGTGGAATGAATTTGAGACAGAGCTTTTTACCTTCACTTTTGACAGTACTAGTCTGCAAATCTGTAGGATGGCCTTGAAGTGAAAGACGAGGTTGCTGTAAACGGCTAATCATAGGTTGGGGTGACACTCTACTGTATTCTATGCTTCGAGCAGGTGATCGGGACCGAGGTGAATTCCTGGGAGATTGTTTCGGTGAAGGCCAGGGAGAACTGCGAGGTGATGGTGAGAACCTGTTAACAGCAGGGTGCACTGCGTGATGTGTGCCATCTTCTTCATCTTCTAAACTCTGTGCATCGAGCTCCTGATCACTGAACGTGCCTCGCCTTGTAGAATTGCAAGAAGAACCAGAACTACGCCGAGAAGCAGTTGCTGCATACTCTTGCCTGAGGCCTGGCAACAATGAGAACATTGTTTACTTGCTTCCAGCTCACAAATGGTTCAAACTAGAGACAGTGAAAATATCTACCCGGTGCTCAGACTCAAATTTGGCTCACCTTAACTCCTTTTATTTGGGGCATTAAATTAATTCCAGATTAGTACCAAAAAAAGTTATCTACCAGCTGATAATGTCTTGAAGTAAGTCAGTGAGCTCACACCTTCTCCTACTACAGCAGTCATCAGTATGGGTGTGTTGTGTATTTGTTCATCTCCTCTCCCAGGATGGATACTAATAACACAGGCTACACCTCAATTTTTATATCACGTAACACCCTACAACAATTATATGAGCCATAATGAAATGTCTGTTGCAATGTATTAGTAAATGCAATGAAAAAGCTACATTATAAGCTACTCCTAGAGAAACTAGAGTTGTTAGAGCAGTGGTCTCCCAAGTGGGGTGCATGCACCCTAGGAGGTATGCCAAATGATCCACTGGGGTACAGGAAGAAAATTTTGTACTACTAATAAAATAATATTTTAAAAATAGCATTTATTTAATTTTTATCTCATCCTTTAAAAACTTCTATATTTGTGTACATTTATGTATTTTTGTGTCCGTAACATATTAATAGAGTAGCACACGTATATAATTTATTAAAAAATATACATATATTGGGGCTTTGTGGTTTTTTTTTTCCACTGACAAGGCTATGCAATAAAAAAGTCTGGAGACCACCTAGTTAGACAACTGAAATTACTACCACTTTCTGCAGTGTCAGAGGGACAGAAAGTCAGGCAAAGTCTCAACTAAACCTGTAACAAAAGAGAAACATCTACATAGGTGCTTTTCTTAACTATTCTTTGCCACACTGACTTTACTTTTGATTTAAATCATGGTTTAAGCACTGATGTCAACAAGACTGAATTACATCGGGAAGGCACGTATCTCCTGAGAATGGCAGTAGCCCAGTCTAAATTATCATCCTTTTAGCATATACTATATGCTACAAATTCATACTCTCTCTAGTGTTTTGTCCACTGTTCCTAAAGAACACTTCTGCACAGCAACTTCCCTTCCTTATCCTGGAGGCTGAAGTCCTTAGCCAGCCTTCTCAGCAGAACTACATTTGTACATCCATAGTAGAATCTACACCCCTTTTCCA